TCTCAAAGTTTTTCTTACCTTTATTTGTTTGCTTAAGACGCGTTGAATTAAAATAACACGTTTCAAAACCAATATTTTCTGATATCATATTTGATTATGACTTCATTTATTAATACAAAACAAAACTTAAGTTTTTGTATAGTAATTTCTGTAAACAGATAAAACTTAATACGATTAGCCTTATCTAAACTGTGGATTTGTTTTTAAAAATTTCCTAATCAATATTTGATAGTCGTTATAAAGGAAGAGCCGTATATTTAATGTTGTAGATGTTATCCCATACACCGTTAACAAACAGGTCGACTTGATTGACATTTCGGCATTCTTGGAGTATATTCTGCTACACCTAAGATCATTGTTCGATTAAGTGTAAGGTTACGCCGTCGAAAAGTAATCTAATACTTCATTAAGGTGAAGTAATTAAAACAAAAGCTCGCCGCATGACTGAACTAATAGTGTTTTAGATTGTTGATATACGTAAAACACAACAAAACAGGTGACAAATAAAGAAATTTTACACTCAGTAATTATTTAAAGGTATCATAAAACGCACTGATAAATGCATTTAAAGGGACAGTGATAGCGAAAATGGGTTATACAAATAAAAACTTCATCGGTAAATTATGTCAGACAAAAGTGAATAAAAATGGCATTTAAAAGGAACGGTGATTATTTCCGAATTTTAAAAAAGAATATATTAAATGAATAAATACACACAGAAGATTGGAAAGAGGAATTGTGATTCAATAAAATAATTTTATATTAATAGTTTTCTAAATGATCAATTTTTGTCCGTTGAATATTGAAATTAATGCACGTTTTTTGGATATGCTCTTAAAAATGGATTAAAAAGATAAGTGAATAAGACAACACGACGTGTTTTGTCTATAAACTGTGTCAAAGGTTTGTGATTTTTTATATTTTCAATCGTTAAAATAGAATTAACTGACTGTTGATAACGCATTTATCATATACGTCCGTATCATACATGCAACAATTTAGTCATAGGTAAATACGTTTTCCAACAATAAATCAATTTTAGATTATATAGCATATACTATACATGTTAAATAACAGTAAATTCTATAAAAAACAACTATTTTTATCATTATTTTATTTATCGCATTCAAATCCGGAATATAATTAAAGATAAACTTAAATATAAAGCATGTTATAAACTTTTGAATACATACTTCACACCAAATCCTTTTTTTTCTTTTCTTATCGTAGTTTTTTTGTTTTGCTAACCCTTTTCAGACGTAACTTTCAATTTATTTTCTATTTATTTTTTTACACACAATTTTTCATTATTAGTCATTTATTTTAAAATTTATCTTTTTAAAGCCTAACAAAGTAAAAAAAAAATAGAACTGTTTTCAAATTATTACATCATATGCAACGCAAAATTTATCCCTTTTAGTGAAACCTGTATTTACAGACCATCTTTTATCAAAGACCATATATAAAATACTCGGTTTGCTTACAATTATATTAGCACAGGTCATCAATTTTGAAACTCGTTCTATGTATAGCTGTATGTTTGCTTTTTTTACCCAATTCCTTGAGCAATGTGATATTACAAATTACGAATAATTGATTCTCAAACGTCAAGTGCATTTTATAATTGATTTTTAAGTAAAAACTTTTCAATTTTTAGACAATTAAGCTTTTAGTTATGTCGCAGGTTATAAAGCAATGTACATAGACATGTAACTTATATTTCATAATCCTTGCCGCGGTATTCGAAGAGCAAACACTTGGATCGATGCTAGTTTTTTAATAACCGCTTCGGTCAATATTTCTTTAATATTTCCCGTATTATCAAATGAATCTTTAATGTAGAAATCGTTGTGATATCCATAATTTAAGATAAATGAGCCGTGTCACGACAAAACCAACATAATGGGTTTGCGACCAGCATGGATCCAGACCAGCCTGCGCATCCGCGCAGTCTGATCAGGATCCATGCCTTTCGCTATCAGTTTCTCTACTTGTAATAGAGTTGGTTAGCGAACAGCATGGATCCTGTCCAGACTGCGCGGATGCGCAGACTGGTCTGGATCCATGCTGGTCGCAAACGCACTATGTTGGTTTTGTCGTGACACGGCTCAATTGGATCTTAACCAAGTCATAGTATCTGCGGAATAGCTTATTCATGGGATAAAAGCAAGGCTTCTTGTATCATGAAGATATCTACAACAATGTTTATATATATTTGAAATAGAACGAATCATCCTTATTTTGTACGAAGATCCTAAATTAATCGATCGACATGGCTTTGAAATCGATCTCAAATAGGAATTTAAATGTGTCAAATATGTAATAAATCAGGTATTGGATAATATAAGATAGTCTGGAATGACTTTAATACGCGTTCCTTAAAGTCAAAATAAAGGTAAGGATTATACTTTTCTGACAAGTAAATAATAAATTATTATATTTAGAATAGGTACTTACGATACGGGCCGTTTGGTGTTTTGAAATATTTAAGATATAGTAAATAAAGAATGTTATCAGCGAAACTAAAATAAATAGTTTATATTCGTATTTTCGACCTTTCGAAATATGCAGAGTTTTCAGTTTTGCGAATATTAAAAGTTGCGTATATGGGAAGTAAGGAAAAGCACTAAATATTACAATATAAATTATATAGGGGAATTACAATATAAATCATATAGGGGAATCAATGTTCTGCTGGAATGCTCAGTTGGTAGAGCAACCTAGCGGGGCATTCCGAAATATTATGCAAGTTATGCTTGAATTCTACCCTGACAGAGTAACCAAGCGGGGCATTCTTAAATATAATGTAAAGTCAATGTTCTGTTCAACTTATAGAACAATCTTGCGAGGCATTCCTAAATATAGTGTAATAGTGTAATATCGATGTTCTATTGGAATGTTCAGTTGGCAGAGCAACCTAGCCGGGTCATTCCGAAATAAAGTGTTAAAGCAATGTTCAGCTGGAGTTCTCAGCTGCTAGAATAACAAAGCGGGGCATTCCGAAAAATAGTGAAAAATAAGCTGGCAGAACAACATAGAGGGGCAGTCCGAAAAAATAGTGAAAAATAAGCTGGGCAGTCCGAAAAAATAGTGAAAAACAAGCTTGCTGAACAACATAGCAGAACATTGATATGCCAATATATATTGTAATACTTAGATCTAAGCTCACTGCTTACTTCTCACATACGCAATTTGCATAGTTGTACTGTCCATTACTTAATCGGCGACCGGACCTAGGTCGTTATTCTTAAAAATCTATTCAAAAAAAAAATTTGTTTAAAATCATTTGTATCTACTAACACTTGTATGCATCCCTGATAAGGTCACATAAATGTCTTTTTATCAACATGTCGTCCTGACTTAAAACCATCTTGTAAACATATCAAAGTCTGCCTTATTAGTTCTGAAAATAACACCCTAATGTCAATGTACTTAACAAGTAGATGTTAAAGACCATAGACAAACTGTCGAACATAATATTTACGATTTATTTTTACAAGGTTATTAACATTAATATACTAGCTATAGTATGCTTACATACATTAATTTCAGCGGGAATACAACTTTTAGACCGATTGTTTACATTAGTTGAAGAAATATTTAGGAAACTTTAACGTTAAAGTCTACGTTTCGTCGCTCAAAGTGGGCGATTGGTATTAACCATTCGATAATGATAAGTTTGGACTGACTTGGTTGGTATAACTATACCAGTTGATAATTTCCCTTAAGATTTTTAGATATTCTCAACACATGGGGAGACATGTCCGTAGTCCCTAGTAAGTATTTACCTGTTTTCTCCACAAATAACTGTCAACTTGCTGCATTGTAGGGTAATATGCATGTTAAAGTGACATTATGCACATCCCAGTGCAAAATGTTGAATGCACAGGTAAACGACAGAATAAATTTACATTTTGCCATTATAACTGACGTGTGTTTAATTTTATTTTCTTCTATGCAAAATAATCAATAATCTACGTGGCACACGGGTATTTTTCATAAATTTCTTAAAAAAGTTGGGCAGTTTTCTTATAATTTAGATGGATTCTATATTTTATCCTGAATATTTTACATTATTAATTATTAGTCAAGAGTCAGTCTCTTTAAATATATTACTAATTCAACTGAACTTGACATTACTAATTCAACAGAACTTGACACCCAAAAAACAAACTTGACAGCACAAAAAAAAATGAGCATAATGTCATTTAAAAAAGATATTTGTTTTCTCAATATTCAAACTTTTATCATAGTTTGATTGTTGATAATGAGATATATGACAGCCTATCGATGGGAGTGTTGTAAACTGCGGGTGCATTTTTGATTATTGGAGCCAATTAATGTGAATAATTTTAGTTATATATATTTGTTCTTACTAACTTAATCCATTGTTTTTATACGCACAATTTTTTTTAAAAAAAACGGACGTATAATTTCAAGTCCATGGTTATTCGTCCGTTCGTCCGTCCGTCCGTTAGTAATGTTCCCACTCTGTATTTAATTGAACAAATGGAAGGAAATGAAGCTAATTAACATAAACGCTTATTAGAATGTATCAAAGGGAGAATACTCTGTAATTATTATTTTCTGAATTTCTTGAGTATATATATATATCAATAGCAGAATACTCTGTAATTACTTGTAAACTAGAATAATCTTTTTTTATTTAAAATTACCTTGAACGTTCTATACTGTATTCTTTCTTAATCAGCGTCAAATCCCATACCAACGAAGTTTCCTTTTTTCTATGTTTCGGTGTTTTTCTTTCCTGATTGAAAACATTGCTTTACATTCCTCAACCGAGTGTATATTGTGCTGCCATTGTGGTTCTTTTAGTATGCAGATATATAGTGTTTGTCGGGTTGAATAGAACTGTGTGTTTTAAAGTTCGCATGAAGCAGAAAAAAAAAGAAAAGAAAACAGAAATTTAAAAACCAATACAGAATTGCATGTAGGTTTGTCTTGCGTTTTATATTTTCAAATTTTACATATATTTTCAGATATTCTCCTCTGGTCAGCCGTAGACCTACTACCAGTTACTCAAACCGGCAAGCATTTTCACCATCTCCGAGGATTCAGTCCGCCAATTCTCGGGTAGCCATGGCAACGCCGCGAGCTCAAGTCAGTATGGCGGGCTTTTACGACTGGTCTACGGAAGATTTCGATGAAGTGTCAATGGCAAGTGTGTATCAGAAAATAGCCGTCACCCACAAGAATAAGTACAACAAGGGTAATAAGAACTGGTGTACTGATGGAATTCATCTGAATCCTGGGCGAATGTTTGTCCGGGACAAGGCAGAGCTAACTAAAGGCGAACGTGAAATAATAGCAGGTATTTACAAGAACCGCGGTGATATTCAGACTAAAACTAGCCATGTTTCAGACATAAAAAGTCATAAAGATGCATGGCTTGTGGGAAAACATTTCCAGAAGAAGAATAATTACTCTGCGAATGATTGTGAAAGGTGTTCTGTTAAAATCCCGGATCATTTGTTCAGTAGGAAAGACGGTCAGAATAAAACGTATGTACCTCCTCCAGATCCCTACCTGTGTGATTCGTGTAAAGAAGACTGTTTACTAGTTGGTCCTCTCTCAGAGAGACAAACTGTAATAGAGAGACAAACTGTAAAGAAGGAGGGCTCTGGCAGAAAAGCCCCGCCCTCTTCTCCGAACAGCACGCCCATATATTCTCGAAAACAACCACCAAAAGTTCCAAAGACAAAGGCGGGAGAAGGCGCGGTTTTAATAGAATCAAGTAAAACATTTTATGATCCTTATGAAGGGTCTAAGAAAAAGAAAGTGTTTGTAGACGTGTTTCTTCCTAAGTTTCAAACTCCAAATCTTTCAGAAGAACAGACAAGTTTGTATACTGATATAGGAACAGATCTAGAGAACAAGTTAAATTTAGATAAAGTCAATGATAAAGAATCTGACAATTTTGATGAAGGTTATTCTAGTCAAGACAGATCGTTGAAGAGTAGACATAGACTATTTTCTTCACCGGCACCATGTACAGCAAGACAGTCATCCGCCGGCGAGTAGAGTTCAACGGTAGATCCCCAAAAACTCGTCGTCGTTATATATAAGGGATTTCTTCGTCCTTCATAAGTTACATGTACAATTTGTTTTAACGAATATCTGACCATCGAAACATTGTTGAATAATTTGAATCAAATTGTCTGGCTATACATTAAGTCATGAAATGATAGCAGACATGATGAATGATGATAATGGTGGCGATGAAAACGATAAGACAAAAAGCAGAGGAAAGCTCTATTCAACAAAGATTGCGAGAAACAAAAAAACCCTCCACATTAAAAACGAAAAGAAAATATTAATTTAATCTTCTATATCTTTTTGATTATTCAATTATGTTTTGCTG